CTCGTAGCAAGATATTCTACTTTTCATGAGGTCTAAGTGACATTTTGGAATCCTGCAATAGAAGATGAGCACTAAAGGCATTTCATGCATTTTGGTGGGGAGGGGAACCCGAGGGGCAGAAGCACCAAAGAGCAGAGGCTGAGATGAGAGATGAAGTGTGCTGTAAACCTGCACCAGGCACTAAAGCACTCATCAGTGGGGAGAAGATGATGGTGAGCTGAACAGAGCAGCTCACAGGTAAGAGTTCAGCCTGAATTCATCACTACAAGTTATTCTCATTCAGCTCAGGGAAAGCAGCAACCTCTGAGTTAATCAGCATGTCCCTGGGAAAAAAAAAAAACACCCCAAGAAACAGGGAAGGCACACAGAGGGCAAAGAAAGGTGGGTGCAGTGACCTCAACAGAAGGGGAAAAAAAAAAATCTAGGTGCACGTTAAAGCAGGGGAAACTTTTGCTTCTTGGACACTGGGAATCATATGGAAAATGTCCTTTTAAAAGCATTTAAAATGTGCATATATGCAGTAAGCTTGGCATGATATTTGATTCCTCAGTTTCACTTTTCTTTCAGAGGGGTTTCCATCTCTCTTTCTCGTTTATTAGCACACAGCTCTCAGGAGAAAACGGGACAGAAAAGCAGAATCAAACATTTCTACCAGTTTCCCCAGTTTTAAAGACTGCTCCAGGCTCAGGAAAAGACCATTTTATAGCTATAATTCTACAGCTATAATATTAACAAAAAAAATTAAACCTCTGCTACAAAAATTAAAATTCTGCTTTCACAAACACAAACCCTATCATTTTATATGCAACATTTCTAATATTTATCATAAATTCCTACCACATCATCACTACATTGCACAAGAATCCTGCACAAAAACTCTTGTGACTCACTTTTCCATCAGCCAACAAACACCACAAGCACTCCTGGCACAATTTCACTTTCAGTATGAGTTTAAAGGGGACTTTCTCAAAACTCGTTTGAGTAAGCAATCAGGGGAATCTCCCAGAGGCACTCTGAATGCAAGACTGAGCTTTTGAAAGTAAAATGTCATCCTCCAAAGCCAGTTTGCCTTATAGGTGACATGAAACAAGTACAGAAATACGACGGGTGACAAAAGATGCAGAAACAAGGTTCAGGAGACAAATTGTTGACGGAAGGAACAGGAGACTGTCAAAACAGCTGAGTAATAAAGCAGAACGCGTTAATTTTCCCAAAGAAAAGGAGGAAAGCCGCCTGGCACAGCTCTGACACATTCCTCCGCGGCTAAAGGCGGGGAGGGACTGAAGCAGCGCAACGAGCAAACCCGCCAGGGCGGATCCCCCAGCCCCGCCGGCCCGGGGTGCTGGAGCATCCTCATCCCTGCCCTGGAACACATCCCAACCCTCCCCTCCCTGCCAGGGCAGCGCCGCCACCGCCAAGTCACCGCTGTCACCGCGCGGCCCCAGCCCCGCCGCCCGGCCCCCGGGCACCCACCTGCGCCCCGGGTGGGGGGAGCTCGGGCGCTCCCGCAGCTGCTCCCCGCAGCTGCTCCCGGGGCTCCTTCCCGGGAGGACGGCGGGGGCCGCTGTCCCTGAGGGGAAGGGACCGGGAACGGTTCCTACGGCGGCCGGGAAGGCCCGGGGAAAACGGGCACCATGACGTGGTGAAGCCGCGCCCCGCCCACCATGGCGGCGCCCGGCCCTCAGCACGGGGTGGAGGAGGATGCGGGGTGTGGGATGCGGAGCACGCCAGGATTTTCACTAAGTCGGGATGTTCTTTGATGTTCGGTGCTTGTACGCTTTCGAGCCTAATTAAAAAGAAAGCAATCACAGAATCGCAGAGTCGGTTGGGTTGGAAAAGAGCTCGGAGATCGGCGGGTCCGACCTCTGGCCGAACAGTACCGTGTCAACCAGGCCATGGCGCTCGGTGCCACGTCCAGTCTGTCCCTAAACACCTCCGGGATGGCGACCTCACCGCCTCCCCGGGCAGGGTGGTGACTCCGCCACCTCCCTGGGCAGCCTGTTCCAATGTCTAATCACCTCTTCTGTGAAGAAATTCTTCCTAATGTCCAACCTAAACCCTCCCTGGCGCAGCTTAAGGCCGTTCTCCCGTCCTCTCACTGAGGAGACTTACCAATTATATAAGTACCTAAAGGGGAGTGCCAAGACAATGGAGCCAAAGTCTTCTTAGTGGTGCCAAGCAAGAGGGAAAGAGGCAACGGGCAGAAAGCGAGGCACAAGAAGTCCCACCTAAACATGGGGAAGAACTTCTTTACTGTGTGAGTGGTTGCACACTGGAACAGATTGACCAGAGAGAGTGTGGATTCTCCCTCACTGGAGATATTCCAGAGCTACCTGCATGCAATCCTGTGCCATGTGCTCTGGGACCAGATGACCTACCCTTCCTACCTGACCCATTCTGTGATTTTGTGGTTCTGTGAGACATAATCTGTGAAACAGGTAGCAGTTTACAAGCTCTAAGTGATGTCCCATTGTTAGAAAGATAAATTACTTGAAAGTAGAATCGCCTTGTTAAGGTTTAGGTCTCGACATGTCAGTGATCTCAGACCTAGAGGGATGGTGGACCTGGGGGAGGTTAACAAAGCTTGGGAAGAAGGACATACTACTGATAGTGGGCACAAAGAATGCCAAATTTATGAGCCACAAGGACATTTGGCAGAATTCCCAAGGTAAGGAGGAAGCTGATAAAGCCACCTTGGCAACCGTGCTGAATCAGCTCCAGCTGGGTAAAAGGTAATTCTGGCAGGGGCACATCACAAACACCAACTCAAGAAACCCACCGAGTCAAAAGAAGAGAAAGACTGAGCATTTGGACTAGTTACCATAAAAAGCAAGAGAATCGTTAAACAATAGAATACTAATTAATAAGAGAACTATCTAACTTGTGGCCAACAAACATTAATGTCTTTGTTCGCTAAAATGCATTAATGGTAAAAAGTTTTGATACTTGGTGTGCTTGATTTGTGGAATATCAGTAAGCAGCCAGGCTTGCACAATCTGAAATAAATAATGAATGTCTCTCTTGAAGGTGTAATTATTGGCTTGTTGCACACCAGGTGATGAATCCGATTTCGTGGACAACAGTGGGAGCTGCTGGCCCCGGGGTGTCTGATGGCTCATCCCTGGGATGTGATGAGGGGTCTCCAAGGCTGCCCTGAGGCACTGTCCCTTCCAGGGGAGTTCTCTCTCTGCAGCCACCCCTCAGCTGCCACCTCTCTGTGTGTGGGGCAGAGGGGGCTGAGAGGGAGCACTTCCCCAAAAGGCCAAGGTTCTGTGAAGTGTGCCAGGAAGGATCAATGTGAGTTTGTTGTTTTGTTTTGTTTTGTTTTTTTTTTTCCTCTGTATTCTTTGAAATCAGCAGTACTGAGGTGAGATTTAGTGTGGGAGCTTTTATTTCCCCTTCGTTGAGGATTGGCATGGTCTTGCCTGCTCATGGAGCTGTCAAAAGTTGACCTGGGTTCAGAGAGAGGGCTGGAAGAACACATGGGGTGCGTGGAAAACCTGGTGCTGAACACCACCTCATGCTGAGGCCGTGCTCTTGTGTCACTTCTAGTCCCCATAATGTCCTGGAGTGGGAGCAGGGTATGACTACAAGCATTTGGCTGTACAATGTGGGCTGCTCAATGTTGTGTTTGCATCGGAGGCCCTCAAAGGCCTGGGGCTTGTTCCGGGAATGTTTTTGGCGCCTGTTATGATTAACTCATGTAGGCTAATTCTTTCATGTGACCAGCTGTCCCAGCAGCAAAGGGATTTTATTCTAACTGCCCCAATGTGTGACTGAAATCATTGCACAGCAGTGTTATTCATTCTATAATGGATGGACCTGCAGGAGTCCCAACATTTTCCTTGGGAAGTCATACAGACTATGTGAGGGTCCCATTTCCAGCTTTGGAAATGGGAACCTTGCAGGGATTATAGGGTTGTGAAGAAGACACTGAACTAGAACTTCAGGGTTCCAGGCTCCCCCATGTGCATAAATCAGTCAATTTTGCCTACTCATAAACTCAGGGTAAACTTGCTTTTATGGCAGTCTTGAGTTCAGTGCTTGAAACTCAGCTAAAGCTATGGTAATAGTGATGGAAGTTCCTGTCCCATTTCATTTTCACCACAGCTGCTTTAGGAAAAAGCCCATAATTTTCTCATTAGGCGATTGTGCGTGTGTAATATTCCAGTCTCTTGAAATGTGAGTATAGCAACTTTTCTCATAACTAAAACTACTCCATGTATAAATGAAGATTTACTGAAATTACTCTTCCATAATGTCCTTGGAAATTAAATTGAAAGACTTATCCAAAGGCAAAATGCCTTTTCTAAATAAGTTCCAGTCAGTACAAAGCACAGTAATATGCTAGAGAAGCCTGAAGAAAGGAAAGGACAAAGTGGTTTTATGGAAGGGTTTACAAAGGAGTTAGTTACTTAGTCCACACATAAAACTGCATGGAGTTTAAAAACAAGGTTTTCAAGGTCCGTGTTTAATTAAGATAACTAACTCAATCAAAGGACAATGAAGTTATTGAAGTATTTCCTTCCAGGCAATTTCTTGTTTCATGTGGACTAATTGTTATCTAGTATTTTTTCCCTGTTATACCCATACCTATTATGCATATCTGTGTTTTATCTTTTTTGCTGTTGTTTCTAATAATTCTTTAAATACTGAACTACTGTGAAGGAAAAAAAATAGTAGCTATTATGTCTCATGCCTTCCATTATGAAATGGGGAGACATTTCACTTATCCAGTTTCTCTGAAGACTATGTTTGAGAAAGAGAGTTGTCTGAACACTTGCTGCCAGAAGTGGGTGATATGTAGCTCTTGTTTTTGTCATTGAAAAGCACCTGCAAGAGAGGGTCTTCTTCCTCTAAAAGATTTTGCAGGAGGGGAGACCTCATTAGTTTCCTAGTGAAATACTGGGTATAGATGGGAACCATCAATATGTTATTATGAAATTTATATGTAAGAAAAAAAATTTTGCTTACTAAGTCCCATTGCAACAGTAGAAGTGAGCAGAGGTTTTATTAATTAATTTTAAAAATACATCAGAAAGCATCTTGAATGTCTTGAAAGTGAATGACGAAATCATATGTTAAAAATTATAAAGATATTAAAGATTATATAGTAAGAATCTTCCTTGGCTAATAAAAGTAGTAGACCTGCAGCAGGTTGATCTATGTAACTAAAAAGACTACTTTGCTATTTTAAGTTTTAGTCAAGTTTTTGACTGAGTTTTAGGTATGACTGAGTGTCTTCATGGTGAGACATATAATCCAAGCTTCCTTGCTGCTTCAGAAATTCTGGGCCCTTTCTTATTAGGGAAAGGGTAAAAGTTCAGTTTGTTGCAGGCTGGCATGCATTTTGTAGAAGAAATATGCTGATGTGTCCAAACTGCTGAAGTGGCTGATTTCAGAGGAGGCTTTTGGCAGGAGCTTGAAATGTTGCAGCCGTTCTCCTCACTGAAACTGCTCAACAGGCTTGAACTTCCCAGTTGACTGAGTGCAGATAATTCACTTTCTCCTCCTAATTCCTTGGGCTGGGATGTGCCGCTTCCCTTTGAAATCAGTCTCTGGTTGTCGAAACTCCACGGTCTGTTCCTGCGGTGGGAAAGGTCCCAGGAGACTCCTCGTCCCGGGGTTTGTCCCAGGCGGTGAGTTCCCAGGTGGATGTGCCACAGCAGGTCGCCTTCTAAGTTGCCACCGCTGGTTGTCTCCATTGTGACCTTTCTGACAGGAATGTCTCCTGTGCATGACTTTGGTCTTCTAACTTTTTTATTAATTAGGACGGCATTCACCATCGATTCTGGGAGAACAGATTCCCGTTCACCTACGAGAGAAATACATTTGTGCACGTTACCACGGTGGAAAAAAAACACCAAGAGTATGATTTCTGTGGCAGAGACTCATCTGAAGAGCTTTAACACATGAGTTTATCTGTGCTCTTTCTGTCTGTGGCTGAGGGTAGTGCAAATTCTTTTGAGGCTAGGTTAAAGAGTACAACTATTTCATGCTTGGTTTTACAGTCCTGAGGACACAAAAGGTATCCTAGCTTTAGTCAAATGAAAATGGAAATTTATCAAGTCAATATTGATCTAACCAGTACTCTAAGACTCATTAACAGCACAGATTGAGAATTGACTTTCAGTAATTAATTGTTTGCAAGCAAAACTTCTTGAAGGTGAGTAGAGACTTGCTCAGTGTGGTAGATGCTGTAATTTGAGAAGCAAAAAGTTTGTTTGATACTGTTTCAAGTTTGTATTCACAACTTAATAACATTGTGCCCATTTGTAGGTGAAATAAGTTGTGAATGTCTTCTTTTTCATAATAAGGAATCATTAACATATAGGCTTGCATTTTAATATTTTACTGCAATTTTACTATTACAGTCAGTGTAAAGGGTGTGAATAGCTTATCACACTAGTGTTGCCTGAATGATTGCTTAGAGAAATCTTAGTCCATGAATAGTAGAGAGTAGCTGTAACAGTGGGAGAGAATCTGGTCTCCTTTTTATTCTTGTATCCCTGTAGCTTCATTTTTAAAGTGGTATGAAAGAAATGTATAAGATATTAGAAATAGAATTGCTAATGCTACTTTAATTACATGTAGCAGTCATCAAATTACTGGACAGAACTGTTTTTTGTGTCTTGAAAATGAATAGAGACTGAACCATTGCACTAAAGATAATCAGTTGATGCTGCAACTACTAATGAAATATACCTTAGTTGGGATAAATATAGTTTAAAGTAGGAGCTGTGCAGAATGCTGGCCTTATTTACAGGGCTGAGTTATAGGTGCTGTGTCTGTTGCAGTATCAGTTATGAAGCATAGTAAAGGGAAAAAAGTAGACATAGAAGAGTGCTGATTATATTCTGAAAGCATATCTCTGAACAGCTGTTTTAAAAGGCTTGTAACCCTGAATTTGAAATGAAGCTAGTTTGAATAGGATGCTGCCTTTACAAAAACCCAACAGCACAACCTCTCCTTTACAGCTGCCTTTCGTGCCATCTTTACAAAGAGGTATTTGAAGATGTCAGACCCAGCTGATTTAGTGGCAGTAAATGAACCTGTACAACAGTGCTTTGGCTAAGGAGAGGCTTTCACTGCTCCCTTTGGTTATTGCTGAAGCAACAACCCCAGCATAACATCACAGAACTTTTTATGCTCTGTGGGTTGGCCACGTAGGATTGATCTGATAAGAGCTGCTTTGCAGCATGGCTGGGAGGGAGAACTGTGTGAGCCCACACCTTCTGCTCTCCTGCTGTGTTACTGGGAGAAAGGAGACTAAAGCACTGGCAGAGCTTTGAGATGCAGGTGTGTTTGTGCATCTGTCTGTACAATGAAGTGTGCTAACAGACTTTTTTAGGGTGACACCACTCAGAGAGATAAGAACACACAGTTCTGCATCACGAGACAGTGAGAATCAAAGTTATGACTGGACTTTATCCAAGAAATAATGCTGACTTCGAGTGGCTACACAAAGGTCCACTTGCAAAACAGAGCCCTGTGTGTTCTGCAGAACAGCACAGCAGAGCACCAAGCTATGAAAACCAGTAATTGTTCTCCGTGTGTGAGAGAAAAAAGCAAGAGAGAAGGGAACCGAGAGACTGAGGTGAAACACCTTAACATGTCCTTGTGAATGTCAACTGTGCTCTTGGCTGAACTGGCATTGATAGGCAATATCATGTATTACCTAGAACCTTATGAACTGGTCATCAGAAGAATTATGATCTGACTTGAGCTGATCAAAGAGTTCAAAGTAATGAGTCTAGTCAAATTTCAATAGTCTGCACTGGTTTTGAGTTCAAGTTTGATTTGATTCTTTGCTTGGCTACAGGTGCAGCACACAAAATTGAGCACTGACCTTGGATAGAAATGCAAGAGTCCTGAGCCACTGTGTATTTAATTGGCACACATTCAGCTCTCTCCAAACTTCTTAAAAAGCTGCAATTAGACAGACCTTTTTTTTTTTTTTTTTTTTTTTTTTTTTTTTTTTTTTTTTTAATTAAATTGTGTATTACAGCCTTGTTGCAAAGTTGTTTACCCTCTGGACTTTTTCATATGCTCCCATCATCAATAGATACTTTTAAGGTTCCGGAGTGGCAGAAGTTAATCTTATTTTGAATTAGCTTGGGAAATACTTGGAAGAGATTTCTGCAGTCAGTGCCCCAGTGTTTATTCTGTTGTGACTGCATGTGCTGAATGCTCCCATTTAATTCCTAAAGTAAATACTGTTTTTCAGCTTCTTAGCCAATAAATAATGAATACACTGCTGTATTATCTCCTAGCTGGTGACTTTCAAATCTTATCGTGCTCTTTGTTCTCAAATAATCAGGAATGGGCAGAAACGTGAATGTGGCTGTGTTTACTGGGGAGGAAACAGAACAAAGTCATTTTCAGGTGACTTCTTGGTTACTGACACGTGCATCAAAAAACTGGGAAAGTTAGAGGGTCTTAAGTTCTGTTTAAAAATCCACGATTTCTGGCAAACAGATAGTGACATACAGAGCTAAAAGTCCTCAAGGAAACTTGGAGTTACCATTCCAGCTCTCGTGCAATAAACCTGCAGTGCTCAAAATCCCTGTGGTATCATAAAAAGAAAGCTGTCCCGTGAGGCTGGAAAGGTGCAGGGCACCTTAGTTAGAACAAAGACCTTTGGCAAGGTGACAGAAGGTGCTTGTTCCATGAGGGTTTTTTGTCAGGCCTTTGAGGTTTGTGTGTATGTGTGGGCTTGTGGTGGTGCTACTGTTGTCATGCCTTTCCCAGCCTAGCCACGATCTTACCCTCTAGGCAGGGAAACAATTTATTGTCAGTACAAAACACTGATACACATGGACTGCCTTTTGGTACTAGTTGGAATTTTAGGATAGTGTAGGGCATTAGGCTCTCCTGATATGGCAGTGTTCATCTCTGCTTGACATATTCTTGAAAACTGATGCATGTAACAGGTTCCAAGTGCTTCCAAACCATAGGAACTGAGCATAACAACCCCCTCCTCCCAAACTTCAACTGCTTCTAACAGTGACATGAGTTCTTTCCACACAGGGTGTTTAAAGATAGAAGTTCAGTGCTGTGGGTTATGTGGTTTTGTGAATGTTTTGGGGTTTGTGTTCAAAAATACTTGTATGTGGATTTTCAACACTATTAAATTTTGAACTTCCCAGAAACTGTGCAGTCCTACTTTTCTGCATCTTTTAATCTTCAAATGGCCTTGAAAAAAATCTGCTCTGATTACATTCATTATATTTGAAGCTTCATTTGAATTAATCTGAATAAAGCTTCTGCTTCCTTTCTTTAACTAACTTATATTTTTGCTACAGCTGATTAGTTGGGCTGTTTTGTCTTCAAGTTAACTGCGTTTTCATATCTGATAAAATAAGCTTGTATATATTTTTTTCTTCCTCACAGAGATTTTAATTCTTTTAACATGAGAATTTCAAAACATATGGATGAAAGAATATTTAAGAAGTGAATTTGTTGTATAGTTCATAATTATGTGTTTTTCCAATTGTTTTGATCGCAAAGTCTGACAGAGCCAAATTCTAGAACTGCTGAAAAATGTAGAAGAAAATGTAAAGAATGAAATAACAACAAGTTTTGTACTTGTTAAGATAAATACTAATGTGAGAGGTGAATGAAGCATGTTTTTCATATTGCAATTAAATTCAGAACATAACTTCATTAATTGGCTTAGTATTATGAATATCAATTTAACTTTGAAATCTAATGACAATATATCAATGTAGTATTGTAAGCAGTAGTTTAACTAAATGTTAAAACATTTGAAGGTTTCTTACATAAAATCTGTCTAACATAGCAGGTAGATGAGTGATACATGTAGTTACTTGTTTTTCTATTTATGCACTTTCCAAGTAATATGCACTGAAGATACTTTCAAAACAGGACCTTTTGTTCAAAGCTTGTATTTTAGTTACCCACTATAACCTTTAGTATAACTTTTTTTAACAAAAACACAACTTGTGCTCGTTACTTGGTATTTGCTGTTGCTTCCTGTAGTCTTTCTTTACACAGATAGAGAAGGGAAAAAAGGGACAGATGACACAGAATTGCAGGTTCTGATGGAAACATTCAAGAGAGCAGAAATGTTACAGAATACATTGCATAAATACACTGAGTACAGACATGAAGTACGTGGCTTCTGTAAGAGCTACCATCTATGTTTAGAATTTTACTTTACTGATATAAAACCTGTAACACCTTACCTCAAATATGTTCATCTGTTTCAAATGCAAGTTAATGTTTCACTGACATGAAGATAATAGATATAAATTGACATAAACATAAAAAAACCTTGAGAGAAATGAATAAAACCCCAAAATGACAGAAAAAGAATTCACTTTTACCTCTCTTGAAGCTGAACATCAAAAGAACAAAGCCAGAAGTTATTAAATCTTTAAAGAAGTAGTCTTTACATTACATATGCATTTTTTCCTATCAGTATAAGCATACCTGTTTTATATACAATAATGTCTGGCTGCAGTTTTTGCTTCTGTTTTATATGGTCATACTGCTCCTCAAGTTTGCCTACATCCATCTCGGTGAGCTGCTTGCCACGGTCTGAAACCTGTGGCTCTGAGGTGTGAGTCACTGAAAAAATACCAGTCATGTATTTGTAAACCTTCACCATCTGTTCCAACAAGGAAGAAAAAGTTGTGCAGAAGCAGGACACTTCCTTCATTGCGTTGGCAAGAAAGCAGATCAAGTTTGAAGCATCTGAAATCTTCCTAAGTGAACGAGTGACTTTCTTCCAAGCAGGGAGACTCGTGTCAGAAGTTGCCTGGTCTGTGCTGGAGTCGTGGCTGTCAGTCAGCTTGTTTTCATGCGGCGTGTCTGGAGCTCCTGCACACAGAGTTCATGATCAGGACTGGATAGATGGATTTAATGTTTACCTAAGGTTGTAAGCATGTGAACCTTTGCCAAGAAAAACAGTGAAATACGAAACCTCCTTGAACACAGTCAAGTGCAGAAAGGGCTGGCTAATACTGGTTTGTGTAGCAATGTTAATTCTTAAAGAGATGATATTGAGGATGCATCCCCAGGATAGCAGTTCCACCTGGCAAATATTTTTCCATGTTTCTTTCCATGTGTTTTGTGTCTTTTCCCCTCCACTGTCCCTTCCTTAACTTTCACCCAGTTTCATTCTTGCTGACACTTCTTGGGGCAATGGGGTGGGAGGAGACAATTTGTTATGCCTTAATACTTTTGTGCTTATTGCTTTCTTTTAAAGAATGTGTTAAAAGTGTTCAGGCCTCAGTGCAGAGTCAGAAGAGTATGTGCCAATGACAGTTGGGACTGGGAGGCTGGAGACAGGAACACCTTACTCTGACTCATTCAGGATTTCCGCTGTTCTATAAGATGAAATAAATTACAGAAATAATGATTTTGTTACTGAGAGCTGAGCAAACCCTTCAAATACACGGTAAGCCACATTTTAAGACTTACTGTACATGTAACAGTATTATCTAAAGTGAGGCAAAAATTTAAAAAGTACATGGCTTTTGTTTATATCGGATAAAGTATGAAACTATGCCTGGACTAGGTACTGCAAGTTTTTGTCCCTGAAATAGGTTCATCAAGGGCCTGTGTGAAAAAATGATGCAGTTAAACTGTAGTTTTAACACAATTGTCATCAGCTCAGTTTCATGCACTGACACACTTTTGGTCAGAGTTTAAAGGGACTTTCTCAGAACTAATTTGAGTAAACAGTCAGGGGTATGTCCCACGAGCCACTTTGAATGCAAGACTGAGCTTTTGTAACTAAAATGCCCGTTTGCCTTATATGTGACATAAAACAAGCAGAGAAATAAGTCTCAAAAGCCGATGTGTTGATGGAAGTGACGGTATTGTCAGAAGGGTCGGCTAATAAGGCAGGACACGTTAATTTTTCCTAAAGAAAAGTAGGAATGCCACCTGGGACAGCTCTGACATACTGGGGACAGCAGCCTCCAGGTGAACTTTGGCACTCACGCAGCTGATCCCTGAGCTCCTTCCCGGGAGGAAGGCGAGGTCCGCTGTCCCTGAGGGAAGGATCCGGGAACAGCCGGGCGGTGGCATCACAGCAGCGGCGGGTTCCGATGGAATGTGGCGGGCGGGGGGGACACGGGAGCCAGGCGGGGCTCATCACAATAGACGATGTGATGTGTGCTCAGAGGAAGTGAAATAACATTGTATTCCATGGTATTTTTTCTGGTGGTGTTTTTTTTTTTTTTTTAATTATTTTTTTGTCGTTGTTGTTTTTGGTTTTGTTTTTGTTTTTGTTTTTTGTGGATGGCTCTATGTGAGCATCTGGAGGATATGTAGCATCCTCCATCAAGCACAACAAAATTCAGTGGAACTGTAGGAAAGATTAATGGTTTGAAGTTGCCTTGGGTGCAAAGAAAATGGTAATTTCTCTTAGAAATGGATGACATTCCTACCACTTTGACAGTAGGCTTTTATTTATCCATTGGTTATTTATTCATACATTGGTCTGTTTCCAAGATATCTTGTGAGGGCATGGTTTATTTTTCTGCCTGAGAAGGGTTTTTGTTTAGATGGATATAAACCACAGGTGTGAGACTGGAAATAACCACTCACCTGTGAGAACCTGCACAGGTTTGTGGTGCAGTTGTGGCACAAGAGAAGATCATAGAATCATGGAATATTAAGGGTTTGGAAGGATCATCTAGTGCCAACCCCTCCTGCCATGGGCAGGGACACTTCCCATGAGACCAGGTTGCTCAAGGCCTTATCCAACCTGGCCTTGAACACTGCCAGGTTTGGGGCATCCACAGCCTCCCTGGGCATCCTGTTCCAGTGCCTAACCACTCTCGCAGTAAAGAATTTCTTCCTAATATCCAGCCTAGACTTCCCCTCTTTCAATTTGTACCCATTACTCTTTGTCCTGTCACTACAGTTCCTGGCAAAGAGTCCCTCTCTGGCTTCCCTGTAGGCCCCCTTCAGATACTGGAAGGTTGCTATGAGGTCTCTATGCAATGTTCTCTCCTCTGAGCAAAATGTTAAACCCTCTAGAAAAAAACAGTTGTACTACTACAGTTATATCTGTGTAGTTGAAATGATTATGTCCCCTTTGTGCACACACTGTTGTAATAGCAGAAAGATGTGTAACGCTGCTGGTAAGGATGGTGTGTTGTTAGATGGTATCAGGGAGCTGAGTAATTAATTCAAACTTTTGTTTTTTTAATGAAATACTGAGGATAGATGGGAACCAACAATACGTTATTATAAAATTTATACATAAGTAGAATATAGCATGCACTAAAATCCATTACAACAACAACAGAAATGAGCAGAGGTTTTATTCATTGATTTTAAAAATTATAAAGATATTAAAGATTATATAGTAAGAATCTTCCTTGTGTAATAAGAGTAGTAGACCCACAGCGGGTTGATCTGTGTAACTAGAAAGACTACTTTGCTATTTTGTTTTAGTCAGGTTTTTGGCTAAGTTTTAGATATAACTGAATGTCTTCATGGTGAGACATAATCCAAACCTTCTTGCTGCTTCAGAAATTCTGGGCCCTTTCTTACTAGAGAAAAAGTAAAAGTTCGGTTTGCTGCAGTCTGGCATGCTTTTTGTAGAAGAAATAAATATGCTGATGTGTCCAAACTGCTGAAATGGCTGATTTCAGAGGAGGCTTTTGGCAGGAGCTTGAAATGTTGCAGCCGTTCTCCTCACTGAACCTATTCAACACACTTGAGCTTCCCAGGTGACTGAGCATAGATAGTTCACTTGTTCCTTCTTATTCCTCAGGTTGCATCATAAATGATTGATGGAATCAGGGGTTGACAACACTCTGTGCATAGAGTTCTGGTGAGGCTCACCAGGCTCTCAGTGTGTAAACCTGCAGTAACTGACTTTTTAATAATTACTCTTGCCTTCCCACTATGCTTGTGTCGTGCAAATTGTGTTGCCTACCTCAACTGCAGTCTTTTCCTGCCTCAGCCAGGAAAAGAACGGTAAACAAAATACTTTGTCAGACACTGTAGATACTTTTCAAGTTGCCTTCTCTCTACTGTAGAAAAAGCGTGTTTGAGTTTTGCTGATGTATCATGGCTTTAGTAGATCTACTTTGATACTCTGCCTTCAGCTGAGACAAACATCTGGTGCTCTGTAGCAAGCAGCACCTCAGGAATTGCCTTGTTTGTCCAGTGTTCTGAGTTGCTGTCACATGGAATCTGCCTTTGGACCTTCAGGCAGCCGATTTATATGTTGGGACAGGAGATTTAATTAACTTCATTACAGTTTGAGCTGGCATTCAATACAAACATTATTAATGGTCTTAAAAGTTACCCAACCTTTTTAAAATTCCAGTCACACTTTTTGACTCGCTGACCTCCTGTGAAAGAGACTTGTGCAACCTGACTATGTGTGGCAGAAGGAACTACCAGCATAGCACCTTTGACCCTGAAATGTAGGCTCTGTCTTCAAATATGTGCACTTCACTTCTCATTGGAAGAGCATTTAATGTATAATGAGTTTGTATTTGATCAGAAGTTATTGTTAATTATTTGTACTGTACAATTCCCTCGGGATTTGTACAGTACCATCACACGTAGTTACACAAATGGTTTATACAAGGCAGCCCCTTCCCAAGCAGTTGCATGGGTAGGCAACACAACCAAAAATGGGCTAAAGGAACCAAATGCCCAGTGAAATGGAGGGAATGAGTCCAGGTGGTACAGCAGAGCTGGAACGGGGAACAGAATTAGTTTTTATTTTGTTGAGCCAATCCTGTATACATGGCAGTTTGCTTCCTTTTCACCGAAAGCTTGTGAACAAAGCATCTTCACAGAATTGTTAGGGTTGGCAAATACCTTTAAGATCACTAAGTCCAACTGTCAACCCAGCACTACCACCATGTTCACCATTAAATCACATCCTCAAGTGCCATATCCACACATTTTTTTAACACTTCCAGGGATCACTTCCCTGTGAAGTCTGTTCCAATGCTTTACAACCATTTAAGTGAAAATTTTTTTCCTAATATTTAATCTAAACCTGCCCTGGTGCAACTCAAGGCCATTTCCTCTCATCATGTCACTGGGAGAAGAGACCGACCCCCACCTTGCCATGACCTCTTTCCAGGGAGTTGTAGAGAGCAATAAGGTCCCTCCTGAACCTCCTTTTCTCCAGGCTAAACACCCCCAGCTGCTGCAGCTGCTCCTCATTAGACTTGTGCTCCAGACTCTTCCCCAGCTCTGTTATCCTTCTCTGGACACACTGCAGCACCTCAATGTCTTTCTTGTAGTGAGGGACCCAAAACTGAACACAGGACTTGAGGTGCAGTTGACTGAGTCTCTGTAGGTTTGTCAGCATGTGTGTTCGTGTGTGTACACTTTTTATCAAGGCATGAGTGCGTATATATATGTATACACACACACATGTATACTTGTGTGTGTTTTGTGAATAATTTGCAACCACAATATAATTAATGAAATGAATTGCGGGTCTAATGTATGTGACATTGCAAAGAGCATGAGGTTAATCGTGGTTTTGATGTATAGTGAGCTGATGTAGCTAAGCCTTGTTATGCCACTGACATAAACTTGAAAATGCATTGTCCATGGGTTATGTTCTTACACCATAGTGGGACAACTTCCTTTGTGCCCCTAGCCCTTTTAGGTATTGCTAATAAATAAAAATAAATTTGTATTGTCATATCTGCACACCAAATTACGATTTCTCTTTAAATCAGTCTTTAAACCGAGTTGCTTGGATCTACAGACCCCTGTACACTTTTACAGTGCACAGCAGGTGGCACTATTGGAGTGGCGTGAATGTGTATTTGCCTGAGCCTGAAATGTTAGAGGCTTCCATTTGGGTTGTAGATTCCTGAGGAATATAA